TTTAAATTACATATATATATATATACATTTATACACACACACACACATATATATATATATATATTTTTTTTTTTTAAGAGATTTTTGCTATACAGTGCATGCACTTGTCAGAGAGACAGACCAAACAGTGGGAAATCACTCCCCGGTGGGAGATGGCCATGACACAATCCCTTCTCCTTCATTCTCCTTTCAGGATTTTGGGCACGCATGCACATGTAAGATTTTCACGCTGCAGGGTCCAGGACTTGAACTGCTGTTGGCCATAGGGAAGTCCAGGGCTTTAACCACTAGCCCATTTGCTGGCCCCTGAAATAATATAGTCTTAACACAGTACAATCTTGTTACCAACTTGCTTTTTTAAATTAATGAACAGTCTAGCCATGCTGCCATCCTCCTAACCCAGCCTCCCGGTGCCCTGCAATCACAGGCGCACATCACTGTCCAAGTTTGATTACGTTAGGCTGGTCGCTGAACCTGGGCCTCGCATTGGGCCTCAGCCACCATGCATGGATGCCCTCTCAGTTGTGCCACCATGGCCAGACCTTGTCACTAGCTTTTATACAAATATTTGTTTGGTTTGGTTATTGCCTTCTAAAATGACTGTCAAATTCTAAACTGTGCTGCAACTCCTAAGTTCATGATAGACACTGCAGCAGAGATTTGGTAGTGGGTTCCAGATTCTTTTTTTCTTCTTCTTAATCCTTTTCCTCACTTTTCTTCTCTTTCTCTTCTTTCCTCTTCTCTTTTATTCTTTTCTTTCTTTATTTTTTTGATGCACTCACTGCTCTAATTAAGGCCAATGGTCGATTATTAAATAAACACTCACTGTGTTGAGAATGGAATAATTCATAAAGGTAAAATTCACTACTTAACCCATGGTGGTTGGAAAACTCTGTGTTCAGCATAATAGCCAATGAGGCCTCAATGGCTGTCCCACTCCTTGCAGTGAGCAGGAGAAATTGGAGAGAGGCTTGTACACCAGGCACAAAGAACAAGAGCAAGATGCTCACAGAAAAGAAAAGAGCACTGGCGTTGGGTGTGGTGCATACAGTAAAGGTCCTAGGTTCGCATCCAGAAACCTTCCCATACATACTGGGTGTATGTGAATACACTCATGATCTGCACTAGCTTGGGATGGGTTGCAGCATGTCAACCCTGAGAGGAGTAATGTCTCTTTGTCTCTCCCATAAAAGAAACAGATGGAAAAATAATTCTTTATTTTCTGAAGAGGTTTTTGCTATAAGGCGTGTGTGCTCGCCAGAAAGACAGAGAGAGACAGAGAGACAGAAAGTGTGAAATCATCCCCCAAGGGGGATGGCAATGCCGCAATCCCTTCTCCTCCATTCTCCTCTCGGAATCTTGGGCATGCACACACATGTGCTCGGATTGAGTTTAAGCCACCGGGTCTGGGACTGGAATTGTGTTTGACTACATGGAAGTACAGCAACATAGTCATTACATCAACCACTAGTTCCGAAAAAATAATTCTTTTTTAAAAAAGGAAAGAGGGCCCGGCAGTTTACACGGTGGTTAAGGGCGCTGGACTCCCACATGGTCAACTGTGGTTCGAGTCCCGGACCTAGTGGCTTGCTTTCTCACTTTCCCTCTCTGTCTTTCTCTGATAAAAACTGGAAAATAATAATAAATAAAGCTAAATAAAATAATTCTTTTTTTTTTAAAGGAAAGACAAAAATAGAGGACAAAAGACTGTACACTTTGCAGTGACTTACTCAGGCCCTTCCCCCCAAATTGCTTCCAGAACATTAGCAGCCAGGTAAATATGCCCTGAGGCAAGAGATCATAGCGTATTTTTCATAAGAAATCAAAGAGCCTAAAAGAGCCCCCTACTTTCTGACATTTGGGGTATCAACTTTCACCTGATTGCCTCATAGCAAGCCCACCCAGATGAAGCACCTAGATGAGCTTCTGGTAGATTTTTAAAGGTTTGCAGGCAGCTGATAAAAGTTTCCAACATGATGAGACTAACACAAATACATGGAGGAAAACGAAGCCAGGGGAAGCCTGGATGAAGCAGAAGAAAACGCTGTAATATAAATAAATAACCTCAAAAGATAGACGAAAAAATGGCAACTATGACATAGTCACAGAATCCTATCTAAAAGAAAACAAAAAACACAAAAAGAACTCTTAAAATAGCTTAGATAACAACTTTAGTAGAACATAAAGAAATATCCTTCAAAATAGAACAAAAGATAAAGAGATGTCCAATAGGAAACAAAAGATAAGAACATTATAAGATTAACCAGAAGATCTACTATCCTACCAAGGGGCATTTCAAAAAGAAATAATAAGAGAAACATAATTGCAGACTTACCATGTGTCTGACACTGTTCTGAGTGGCTCAAATACATGAGTGAGGTAGTTACTATTATTTTATCCATCTGATAGATGAGGAAATGGAAGCACAACGAGATTAAGTGACTTGCTTTCAGTCATTTAGTTGTGCCAGGATTTGAACTCAGGCAATCTGATTTGCTCTAAACTGTTCTGCTAAGACGATCCTTCCCCCAGAGGAGAGGAGATTACTAAAGAAATATTTCAAGAAAGTCTCCTGAACTGGATATAAACCCCCAGATGGAAGTGTCCGCTGAGTGTCCAGCAGGATGGATGAAAGTGTATCTACACTAAAGCCTAGTTATGACATTTCAGAATAGCAGAGACAAAGAGATCATTTTACAAGTTCCCAGAAAAAAAAAAAAGTCACAAAAGAATAGGCATTAGAGTGACAACAGAATTTTTAACAATAACATTGGAAGTTGGAAGATAAAAGAACAGTTTTGGGGCCAGCAGGTGGTTGTGGCACTGGACTTCCACATGATCCATGATCGACTGAGATTCAAGTCCCAGATCCAATGGCCCCCAAATCACAACAAATAAATTGATAAATAAATAAATATTTTTAAAAAATAAAAACAAAAGAACAGTTTCTATTAAATTATGAATAAAACTTTTTTTTTTATTTAGAATTCTACCTTTGAATCAAATGTTGGAAAAAGTAAACGCTGGAAAAAAGACATTTCAAGTAGGTGAGGACTCAACATTTCATTTTCTGTATCCAATCTTGGGCTTTACTGGAACCTGTGCCATAGAAAAGGAAGCAGTAAGCCAAGAAAGCAGGTATAAAACATGGCAGTAGTGTTCTTTCACGAAGTAAGTATTCCAGGATGACAACTGAGCTGCAAGTCTACGAAGCAACTGATCCCCATCAGAACAGGAGGATAGTGGAATTCTGAAGGAGTATCACCAGGGGAAAAATATGAATGGATTATTGGGTCATTTGGTAAATCATGTGTAAAGAAAATGTCAGGATAGGTGCACAATAAAGCAGATAAATAGATAAGACTTGATAAAAGGAAACAATCCCAGTACCCTTGCTGGCTCTGTTGTCACTGATATCTGCACCTTCCCTTACTACTTAGCCCCTAAACTGTTAAGAACTGTGTTGGGAGACCACCCTGTGGTGTGATGGTTAAGGTGCTGGTCACTCCCATATGGCCAACCACGGTTTGAGTCCCAGACCTGGTGGCTTGCTTTCACACTTTCTCTCTAGTCAAAATAAAAATAAATAAGTAAATAAATAATTTTTAAAAAGAGCTATGTTGGGATAATGGCCAGAAGGGGAAGTAGGGTGGAATAAAACCATAAAATCCTTTGAAGCAATAGGTGTCCAAAGCACAACATCTGAATTAATTAATTAAGTGTGTTATATACATTATTTAGAAATAGGGAAGTAAATCACAGAAGAGACAGCTAAGAGTGGAATGTGGTTGCCTCTAAAAAGGAGATAGGTATTATATTATCTTCAAAAAGCGTGTATGTTTACATTGCCTTTAAAAAGTAAGAATAAAATGTTGAAATCCATTTGCTGAGAGTGAAAACATGAAGCAACCAAACCTTGTCTCACAATGTAATTTTCAGGGACTAAGTGATCCATTAAGAGTAAAATAGAAGTGTGTCCATTCTGGCAGCTTTTGCAGTAACTGAAAATAAGGTAAACGTTGCATGTCGGTCTTTATTTCCATAATGCGTATGTGTGGACTAGATCTTGGTCAGAACTTCCACAAATACTTCACTCTTTGGTAGCAGTGGTTATAAATTACACCTTTGCTCATTCCAGTTGCTCCCAACCAGGAGGAACAGAACTACAAAGTCAGTTACATCCTGCCCTGTTTCCGTAGCAACCACATTAAACTGCAAGGATAAAGCACCTTTGTAGTAGCTGCATCTATTGAATTACAATGTAAATGTTGATGTCTGCCTGGAAACGTCAAATGACAACAGGTTTAGGGAACGCATTCAGTAGTTGTTTGCGGCTCTGGAATCCCAGGTTGCAGAGTTGAGATCCAAGCGGTGATCCTGGGCACCCTGAATGTCTATTTAACCAAATCCTCACTCCATCCAAACCACACCACTTCCCACCTGCCCAGCTCACGAAAAGATGCTCACCTTTTTGAAAATCTGTAATCTATCTGGTATCTTTCACACATCGGACACTAAAAGTGTTTGCTGAGGATAAGAATGTTTAAAGAACAATGACGCAAGAGATCCGAAGCCAGCTTTCTGTTTCTTTGCCCTTCTGAACACAAAATAACTTTAGTCCCAAACTCTTCGGCCACTGTCATTCCTCTTAACGTGAGTATTGAAAGCCCGGTGGTGTGCTGAACATTTGATTCCGGTTGGCTCGGGATACCTGACTTCAGCTCTCCTTCGTCCTTCCGTTCGACCCACAATCCCTAGTGTTTGCAGGTGTTGCTCAAGAAGTCTACTTCAAACACTGACCCTCGGCTCCCACCGGCCGCGGCAGAGCTGCCAGTGTACCGCCGCTCCACGCAGGTAAACTTCGGAATAAGTTACCTGCACTTGGAGAAGGGCCTTACCTGAGCGCGCCTCTGCCAATGGCAGGTCACGCAGCTCACCTGAGGGAGCGCTGCAGCCAATCACCGTGCAGCTCGTCCCTCGGGCTTGTACCCTTTAGTGAAAGAATTCAGCTCCTTGCGAGAAAGTTACCTGTGGCCGCCCAAGTCCGCCACTTTCTGCTCTGTGTCTGCCCATTGCCACGATCCAGGAGGACTCCGCGCCGCCCCGCTGCCTCCGAGCTCGGGCCCCATGTGAGGGGCCCCCCCTTATCCCACCTTTCCGGCTAGGTGAGGGCGCGAGCGGGCGAGCGAGCGAGAGTGGTGAGGGGGGACGGAAAAGCAGAATTACCTGTAGCTCTTGTTCTGCCATCTCGGGCGCTCTCACACACCTTCACCTGCACAGACTTGAAAGTCCAGTTTCACCAGAGGCTGAGGCTCCAGGAAAAGGGGAGCGAGTTCATTGGATCAAACATGTCACAAGAGTCGGACAAGTAAGTGGATCACACGCGCCGGCTGCTGCTACTACCACTTTGGGCTGATGGCAACTGGTTTGTTATTTTTTTTTTTTTTTAAGTTGCTATTGTTGGTATTTTTTTTTCTTTCTTTTTTTCTTTTTCTTTTTGGTGACTCCAAACTTTTCCGGATTATGTTTCTTCCCTGATTAAGGGGAGAACCCCTGCAAGAATGTGAACGTTTAATACCCCCTTTGGGCCTTGATAGTAAAAGTAGGTTTTCCTTTTTGCTTCCTCACTCCCTTACGAATGGTCTCAGCTCCCGCTCCCCCGACGCTGCCTGGCTATGGACCGAGGTTTTGGTGGATGGGGGCGGGAGGCCTGTTGTCCCTCTCCTTTAGTTGCACCCACCGCTCCAGGCTTCTAGGGCTCTGTGGAAGCTCAGCTACGTTCCTTCGATGTGTCCAAAGGGCCTGCTGGAAAAGCGGGTCTTGGTCGCTTTTGTGTGAACGCAACAAAGAGCTTTCAGAGAGAAGCAGAAACGGCCATCTTCCCGCACTGGGGCAGGACAGTGTGCGTGTGTGCGCGCCCGCCCGTGTGCCCCAGACTGGGGTCAGGCTGGGAGGCCAGATCGCGGGGTCCACAGCGTCTCCCCACTTCCCGCACCGGCACCCCCATCCTTCCTCCGCTCCCGCCTGCATTGTTGGGCCACCCTACTCAGATAACCTCAGGAAAGGCCTTTCAGAAATGGGGGGAACTGATTGGAGGCCCCGAGTCAGCGTCCCAGCGGGACGGAAAGGGGCGCCTGCCACAGAGCAATCCCGGCGCCCCGAAGTCGACTGCACGCCCCTCTGAGCCCGCAGCTCCCGGCGGGCCCGGGCGCTGCACGGAGGCCGCCGCCTCGGGCGTGGCGGGTGGCCATGCGTGGATCGCTCTGGGTCTTCTTGGGTGTGTGTGGGGGTCTAGATGGAAAATCAGGGAACTTGGGGCAGCAGGAACTCGAGACCCCGCGTCCTTCCCGTCGCGGCCTGAGCCGTGGGTCGCGGCCGGGCCCTCGCCTTCGCGGCGGCTTTGTGCGAGCCGGGGGAGGTGGGGCCGAGGGCGGGAGCGGGAGGGAGCCGGAGGTGGGTCCCGCGGCCTTTCTTGGGATTCGGTGGCGACACTCCCTTCCCCCTCTCGGGCGCGTCCTGGCTGGGAAGTCCTATTGGAAGTGCGTAGGGCCGCCCTTTTGCTTTCTCTGGGAACCCTACGCTGGCGGTGTGGCCACCCCAAAGAGATTTTCCTGGGGCCGGGCGCGCGAGGCCGCGGGAGAGGCGTCTTCCCTGGAGAGGTGGCAATTTGAGGGACCCTGAAGGAGGAGCAAGAAGGCCCTGAGGACCTATAGAGGGAATCATCCTCAAAATTAAATAACATTTGCTGTGATGTGTTAACAGAAAACAAAAAACTAGCAGACAGCAGTAGTATTTTAGCCACCGATGAAGACTTAGCTGTGTACTGTTAACACATACAGGAGCGGAAGAGCTATTTACTTACAAGCACGGGAAGGGGTAACCGGTAGGGATGGGAAAGCATACCATTAGGTGAGAGTCCCACCCCACCCCAAAGTCTCTCGGTAGTCTTGAGAAATCACTGCCCGAGTTTGAAAACTTCACTAGCCCACCGCCCAGAGGATAGAAGGTGTCGTTTTTGTTTTGGGGTTGTTTTGATCTTCGCATCAAACATGGTTGCAAGTCTAGTTTAATCAGACAATTCACTTTAACGTTTAATTTGCTTCGTTGTGTGATAATATGTGAGCGGAATTCAGAATGAAAAGGATTGATTCTCGGCCTTTTGACTAAGATCATGCGTGCAGTAAAAATGGATGCTTTTTTTATCTTAACCAGTTATACTTAGCAGCAATAAAGACAATTTGTTTACTACTGAAAATAAGTACTGAGCACCAGCCATCTGGTTTCACTACATGCATTGCCTAGTTTTTATGTGTAATAACTATCTGGGATTACCTATACTTAAATGTAATGAAAGTAGCTTTTTTCTAGTAACGGGTTCCGAGATTTAATTTTGCGTTCTGGGAAAAGTAATAGGAACAATATTGCAAAGAGACACAGTTGAATTCAGTTTGCCTCTTTCTGCTTGGACTGTTGAGAAACCTCCATCAGCCATGACTTCTGGATCAGTTTTGGGAATTCAAGCCTAGTTTTCTTAAAGTTCTTATTCTAATGGGGGCCTGGCCCAGGTGGATCCAGGCTTTGTGGCTCTGAAGCTTATGTGTGTGTGTTAGATGGGGTAGGGACTCTGAAAAAGGAACCCCTAAGCATCTTGTTGTGGCTTCTTCACCTGAGCAAGTGGGGAACCCTGCATCTTGAGCTTTATCAACATCATGGTAATTCTACTCTGGGAGGCCTGCGTATATTTTCTTGAAATAACCTAGAAGAATACACACTGAGGATTTCCCCATAATTCCTTTAGGATTTAGGTAATCTTTTGGATAGCATAGGGAGATACTTCTGATTAGCAATTCTGAACTGATGTAACATCTTTTTTATGGTGTGGACTTTTCAGATGGAAACGTTCTGCTTTTTATGTTCTGTACTGTTGATGTTATCACTAAAACCATTTTTTAGGACATTTTGTCTTTGTACATATTTAAAATTCTCTATGTCTATTTTAAGTTTTATGAAGATTTATGATCTTTGTCAACTAGTATAAGCAAGACAATGATATATTAAACTCTTATATTACTGCCAAAATATATAACATGCATCCAGAGAATATATAAATACACATGTAATATTTGATTTGTTTCTCACAGGTAGTTTTCATTAGGTAAATATGTTTTCTGATTACCTATTATATGCAACTCCTTCAGATAGGCATTATAAGAGAGTACAAAGTGTATGTATGGCCATATCTTTAAGCAGCTTACATTGTAATGGAAGTTAAAACATAAGCAGATATAAATTTAATTAAGGCAACACCTGGCAAGTACTTAGAAGTTACAAAAAAAACTGAAAAAATTGAAAAATATAATATAGCTTGCATGAGGTACCTGCTTCTCTCTACCCATCTCATTTTTGCCTAGGACAATTATATTTTAGTAAGTTTTTTTGTGTTTTATTGTAAGGAGTCCTGTCATCATTCAGAAAATGCTCAAAGTTATAGATATCTTACATGGATAACCTTCCAAGTAATGGGATGACTATATATTTTGATTAAGTTCCTATTCTTTTTATTTTTTTAATTGGCCATAGGGTGCATGCATTCACTAGAGAAAGAAAGAGACAGAGATAAAGAGACAGAGAAAGAGGAAGAGGGAGGAAACACTCCCCATGGGGAATGACCTCATTGCAGTCCTTTTTCCTTTCCTCGATATCTCCCTCCTTTTTGGTTTATGGGTGCACACATGCACCAAGTGTGTTTTTCAAGCCGTAAGGTCTGGGACTTGAACCCTGTGGTCAACCATGTGGGATACAGTGCACATAACCACCAGGTCATAGACTGGCCAAACTGCCTACTCTTTGGTTCTACAAATGCAAATATAAAATATTTTTTATGATTGCAAATGGCAAGAGTTCCTCATATCCTCCTCAAACCAATCCAAATGCAAGTTGAGTATCCCTTATCTGAAATGCTTGAGACCAGAAGCATTTCTGACTTAGGTTTTTCAGATTTTGAATATTTGAATATACATAATGAGAAATCTTGTGGATAGGGCTCAAGTCTAAATGAGAAATTATTTTGTGTTTTATATACACTATAGCACGTAGCCTGAAGGTAATGTTCCATAATAGTTTTGTATTGCAGTGTTCTGACTGTGACATATCGCAGGAGGTTAGGTCTGGAATTTTCCACTTGTGGCATCATGTCAATGCTCAAAAAGTTGTAGATTTTGGAGCATTTCAGAGTTTGGATTTTTGAATTAGGGATGATCAACCCATACCCTTTTTTTTTTTTTTTTCCTTTCTCTCCTTCTCTTTTTCTTTTCCTTCCATGAACTAGAGACAAATAGCACCCCAATAGGATTTTTTAAAAAAGAATTATTTATTTATTCAATTCCATTTGTTATTATTATTTTTCAATTTGATCAGAGAGAGACAGAGAGAAAGAGAGAGAGAGAGAGAGAAAGGAAAGAGAGAAAGCAAGCTGCCAGGTCCAGGACTCGAACCATGGTCAGACATGTGAGAATCCAGTGCTAGCCACCATGTCATCTGCCAGCCCCAGGAATTTTTTTTTTTTAATTTTCCAGAGGGCATGTGTATTTGCTGGGGGCCAGGGGTAGGAGAGTAATCCCCATCTATGGGAGATGGCCACATTTCTGCCATCCCTTCTCCTCTATCTCCCTCCTTTTAGGATTTTGGGCACACACATACATGCACCCAGTGTGTTTATCAAGCAGCTGGGTCCAAGACATGAACCACATAGTCAGCCTTGTGGGATTTAGCTGCCTTAACCACTACATCACAAACTGATCCCCCAATAGGCTCTTGATGCTGTGACTCACCCCAGTTCCTGCTAGCCATTGGTCATAGGCATGTATGCCCAGCATACTCAATGATGTCTTCAGACACCAACCCATAACCTTCCCATGTAGGTCAATCTTGCAGAGCATCACATTTTACTACTGCACCACTGAACACTCCCCACAAATATATCTTAATGCCACTATGTACTGGGCATCAAGCTTGACACTGAAATTCACACCATGGTACTTACTTCCAGTGTGCGTGTGTGTGTGTGGGGTGGGGTGGGGTGTGTGTGTGTGTGTGTGTGTGTGTGTGTGAGGGGGGCAGACAATAAATGAACCAAGACCTAAACCTCTAATAATAAAGTGATGATAAGTGCTATGAAGAAAAGCAAAGCAGACTAAAGGGATTGAAAGTAGTGAAGAGTTATTTTCTATCATGTGGTGGTCAGGAACAGCCTCTCTGATAAGATGGCTGAGGACAGACTGGAAGGATGTGGAGGATGGAGCACTGAAGAAACCTGGGGTAAAAGTATCACAGGTAGACAGGAAGAGCGAGTGCAAGTGCCCTAAGGTG